GTACGCCCCCCACCCCCTCCCCCCCCGTCGCCTCCAATGCTCCCACCACACTTCCCCCCGCGAACGTGCAACTTTTGTACCTCATGCCACAAACACACTATTGATATACACCGAACCAGTCTACAGCAGGCGAGCGGCAAGCAACGCCGTCGGCAGGACCAGCAGGAACAAGGGGAGGAGCGGCAGCAGGGGATTGAGAGGTGCCGGCCTCAGCGACGAGGATGACGAGGGCGGCGGCGGCTTTTCGGCTGACGCCCTGGCGCAGCTTCGGGACGATCTGAATGAGAGAACGTCGCGTCGCCGTGACTGGGGAGGTCGCCGGCTAAGGTCCGGCAGGGGGAGTGGCGGAGGCAGCGCTCGAGAACGGCTGTTGTCGTCGTCGTCGTCGTCGTCATCGCGGTTCCCGGCGTCTCGGCAGGGTTACGGGGACCCTTGGGCGAATGAGGGCTCCGACTGACTCTAACGACAATTCGACGGTATCCGGAAATGCGAGAAAGCTGACAAAGAAAGGGGGTCATTGGTGCTCAATGGTGGAGTGGTCGTGTGATGATTTGCGCGTAGTATGCGGAGGGAGGGGAAACGCGTTGTCGCGTGTGGTCATTGGCGCTTTTTGGATGGTGCGTTGTGATTTTTTTTTTATTGCACTTGGTTGTTTATATGCATCGGTCGCGGGGGGGAGGAAACGCGTTGTCGGGTGTGACCTCCGGGGCGGGATTGTCGCGATCGCCGAATCCGGAACAGATTTTGGTCGAGATCTTGTGTATATTAGAAAACTCTTGGGAGATGACAGGTTCCGATCTTGGCTTGGCGAGACTTGATGCGCACAAGAGATGCCCGGAATTTCGCTGAGAGAGAGAAAATTTGCACGTTTTGCGACTCATCTCTTTTGTGTTTTTTTTTCTTTTTCTGTTCGCGTTTTCGCTAAATAAGCAAAACAGCACAACCGAAGAAGCAGCATGTAGCGGTTGTTGTTTTTCGACCTGTGACTTCCAACGAGATTTTTGCAATTCTGCTCTCCTTTGTGCAAGCAGATGCAGCATAAGGAGCGAAATAAACGTCACTACAGGCGGCGGTACTGAAAGCTCATCGCCAACAGCCCTACCACGTAGAGAGCGTCGCATCGTTCTGGGCAATGTACGCAGCACCCTGTTGTTGGTGTTGTTGTTGTGTCCTTGTCTTGACTTTAAAAACCCTGAACTGGTTGCAGCTACTTTTTGTCGGACGTGATTGGAGACTGTTCCTAGGGTCGAGGGACGAAGAAGCGTTACACCAATGTGAGACGGGACCTAAAACGGGACAAAGGTTTCGAACACAGCCGCCCTTACAGAGTAGTGATTCAGCGACGCCCTTTTTTGGAACCCAAGAACGAAACCTTGTAGGAGGTCGCGCATCTGTGAGTAGTCGCCCTCCTTTTAGCGCTGTTTCCTCCCTGCAAATCGTTCCGGGGCAAGTGGCGGCCGACTTGGTCGAGTCTCCTACTCGAGACGAAACCGCTGAGGATCAGAAGTCGGCCCCTGAATGAAGGCACATCACTCTTTGCGGATAGGCAGCCAGCGGCTGCATCTATCTGTAGACCTGTCCCCGAACGTGCTTCGAGTCTGTCTCCCAATGTCGCTGGCACACGCGCCTCTATTGCCAAGTATTGAAGAACACACACGTTCGTGTCGACGGCAACATGTCTGGAAAAGAGGCTACAGGATACTGGAACCCGTATGACCCAGCAGGGTGTATGGGGTGGTGATGCGGCAGCTGCAGCAGAACGGCGTCGCGAAGCACTTGACGGCGATCACGTGGCGTAGATAGAGACGACGACCGATGACAACATCACGGCTGACACCTTGTTTGCCACCAGAGACCAACACTCCCATCAGGTCGCGTATCGGTACAAGAGCTCATGACACTCTGTTTCATTCACAACAAGCGTGCTCTTTCGCTTGAACTTTTAGCTTGCAAACTACTTGCTTTGAACAAGAACGCACAACGGTTAAGCATGAGAGCATTTTTGAGACCAGAAAACGCACTCGCATAATCACATCATCACAGGTCCAATGCAACGGCGGGTTGCCTCAACACGCCACCTGCCCCCCCGTGTGATTGTCGTCTATTCGTTGCGCACGCTGGGGCTTGACGCGAGCAGATGACTGTCATCTACCACACATGCCTGTCCCCTTACTTGGCCTCCGATGCCCACCCTTGCGAATTCGTCCCCAGATTATTTTCTGTGATCTATCTCACTCCTAGCTTTATTGCGCTTCTGAGAACCCACGGCCTCTTCCCTTTCCCGTCGTTCTTCGATACCTACCGTGGCCCACACAAGCCTGCAGCCGATCGTAACTTCTACGGGGATTGACCCGGATTGGTTCTTCGTGACACGGATGTTGAGCTAGTTGTCGACGTTCTTAGTTAACGGCCAAACGTCTCCAAAGCCATCAACAAACGAGCAGCTTCGTGGAGGTCCCGTTACTATCAATGCTGTTCCCTCCATTACTCTTCGGGGTCTCCATGATTCGGATGCGTCTCCCGAACGGTTCTACTCTCATTTGCGTTAAGAAACCACGGCATCCTTACCATCCTTACCTCCACGACCAACACAACGTTTAAATGATGTCTTCGACTTCAAAAAATGTTCCCCAGTGTTCATGTTTCCCTTCCCTGGGAGAAAAGCCACTCGAGGGAGGACTGGAGGGTTTCACTGCTGTCCCACGTGCCCTCTCGCACCAAAATTTTCCACCGGTGAACACACACGCCTTGCGCTTTCAAAGGGTAAACCAACCTGGTCGCTATGCTCTGAACAACTAGTCTACATCTCTCTCGGCCTGCACTCTTCTCCTGTGCTGGCCCACGTGTATCGGGCACATAAATCAACTTGCAGATTGGTAAACCAACCTGGTTGCTATGCACACCTCTCTTCCGGTCACGAAATACTGCACTCTTCCCGTGTGCTGGCCACAAAGCACACACTGATTCTTTACATCACAGGTCTCCCGTCGCGTCCTTGCCGAGATCTTCGAGCGGAGCCACCACCTGCGGCGGCAGGTGGTCGTCGGAATCCAGCAACGCGCAAGCCGCGACGAGCTTCCCCAGGTAGGCGTGGTGGATCAAGCCCCGCGCTCCTAGCGCGGCGATCACCCACCCCCGCTTGGAGAACGGGAGCCGACCGGCGACCGGGATGCGCCCGTAGCTGCTGCGCTCTTGCATCACTCGTACCTTTTCACGTCACGACCATGGGCGCGCATCATCAGGGTGGAGCGGGCGAAAAACTGGTTAAACAAAAAAAGATGACAACAAGCATTCACGGAATCTACCAGGTGATCTCGATCATCTCATGCGCTCTTCATCCCGTGTCCCACACTCAATTGGCGAAGGGGGGGGCGAAGCTGGCCCTGTTCGGGTAGGGTAAGAAGTGGGTGGGTACACCGATATGGCGATATTCCGGACAGCGGAATTGCCGGTAGAGCAGCACCAGAAATCGCTCGTTACTGCTATCATATGCCTTAATAGCGTCGTTACGTGCGTTTTGACACCACATACCGCTATGTCGAAGACCTGCTGTATTTCTGATGACCGTTCCACCTTAAATACAAAATACCCAGAAAAAACATGCTAAGTTGTTTCGCCTTCATTTCGCCGAGAAACGACGAAAAAAAACACGGTCGGCAACCACGCCTATGGCGCGCGTGTGTTCTCCGTCAAGCGAGGTTCGATGGAACGTTTTGCGTGTCCTGGGTGCCCACAAGAACCGAAAGCAACGAGGACACCAACGCCAGCAAACACGCGACTACTGCCTTTCAGGATGGAGAGCACCGCAAAAAGCTGTCGCGCCATCATTACCTCAGAGCGCAAGGGCGGCCAACGAAAAAATGGGCACCGTCTCAAGGTCAGGGAGGACAACACTCAGGTCTGTCAACTCGCACCTGCGTAGTTGTTCAAACCCCATATGACACGTGTGGCATGCAAAAAATCGGAGAACCCTCCCCCCCCCTCTCAAACTCACCCCGGCGGTGCATCCAATCGGCGTCACCCCTTCAAGAGCCGGGAAAAACCGGGCGACTTTTGGCCTCAGCTGTCGGAGGGCCTTGGCCATGTCCGGCGGCCTGTCCACCTGTGCCCGGTACGACGGTTATCACACACCACCGGGGTGGACAGACATTCGAGAGAAATGACGGGGTTCTTGAGCCTTTGAAACGGATTTCATTTTGGATGCGCGCAGCGATGTTTGCGGTCGTTCGAAAACACAAGTGCAGAACAAAAAAACTAAACGGTGCATGTTTGCAAATGACATATTCAGAGGGGGGATTGTATGAGCAGAGGATTCGACCACAACGCGGTGGGCACCTCTAGATGACGGCTCGACGTTGCAGAGTAGCGTAGGCTACACGACCCGCTCACGAAGCTCTTCGAAAAGTATTTCCGACGTATTTTATGGTTTACCGGACAGCTCAGCGTCGAACGAACCACGACGGCCGGTGCGAGACGCAAACACCTTCTGTACGCAGATAGGTCCACACGAAGAAGGGCCGAAGACGCGGCACATTCTCACTCAAGACACGCACGAAGACACGCCACGGCGCTGCGCCAGAGGCCCACACACACGCCGAGCTCTGCTGTGGGGGCGGGTCCCGAGCCGACGAGTGTTTGCTTCCCCTACTTGCTCGTTATCGTGAGCGCAAATCGCAGCGTGTGCAAACCGTACACGTATGCGGCTTGCATACGATACGGATCGCGCCGACGAAATCGAGCACAAGGAGAAAAAAAAAACGCTGGCTCGGGACCCGACCCAACAGCAGAGCTCGGCGTGTGGGTCTCGGGCGCAGGCAGCGCCAGGAGCAGTTTAAGCAGGCCCGCCCAAGGCCAACATGAAGAAAATAAGACGGAGAGGGGTGAAGGAAGAACGCACTGCAGCCGCGCGGCGCTAGTGCTCAACACGTTGTCTCCTTTGAAAGGGGGGCTGTTAGGCTCTTATCGTACACAACGCTACACTCGTTTTGGCTCTATCGTACGATAACCCGTTCGGGAAGCTGGTGTGTAGGGAAGGCTAGTTCGACACCAGAAGAAGAATATAGGCTAACGTCAAAGGACTAGTCGTGCCATATGGACTGGTACCTCATATTGACCCCTACCAACCTACCAACCAATCCTGTTTCCTGGCACCCGTCTACGAGAGCTAAATCCCGTCTGCTGCGGCGGTACTCGCGCTGCGCAAACCTTCTGTCCGGGCATGAAGGGCTCCTGCGTCGACCCCAGCAAGATCTTGCCCCCGTTGCCCCCTCCCGTCTCGTCCACCGTGGTCGGCACAACATACTGCCCGCACAGAACCGCACTCTGCAACAGCCTATCGCTGCCGCCGCTCCCGCTGCTGCTGCTGCTGCTGCTGCTGCTACCGCCACCCTTCTCAGCAGCCCCTTCCCCCCCCGGCTCCGCCGCCCTCGCCGCCCCCACGTTGTCGTACAGCAGGGTCTGTCCGCGCACCAGCCGGAGGCTGACGATGTCCTTCACCCCGGCGAGCGCCCTCACCCCGGCCCCGACGCACGCCACCACGGCGTTGAACTCCCCCGAGGCGGCCAACGCGTGGACGTCCTCCACGCTTTGTCGAACCCACGTAGCCCCCTCTTTCCGCGACGGCGACGAGGAGGCACCGTTATCGCCCCCGCTGGTGTCGCCGTTAGCGTTTCTGTCCACGTCTGCTGCGTTGACGAGCGCGCGGCAGGCAGACCAGAGACCCTTGAGGTACGTCGGCGCGTCGACCGCCAACGCGCCCCGTATGCGAACTCCTGACGATCCGCAAGAACGTTGAGGGGGAAATGAACACGGGGGGTGTCGTGCGAAGTCATGATAAGTGGCTGCTGGGGCCGCTGTGATCCAACTGATTTAACTCGGCGGAGGGAGAAGTGATGGGGTTGTTGGCACGACGATAGAATGCAAGGGAACCATCGTGGTGATTTTCTCGCAAATGTAAATTAGGTTAGCAAAAAAATCGCTGCAAAAGAAGAAGCCGTCGAGCCCGATTCGATGGTTTTCTGAGCTCAGCACACAAACCACACCGGCAGTTTGACTTATCGGAAGAGTCTTAGTGTTGACGGGGAGATGCTCGTTACTTTCCAAAACATGTCGAACAGCAGTATCTTGTGTCAGTCTCTCGATGGTTCTATAAAGACCGGCCCTACCGACCTCCTAGGCAGCGCTCAGCCGCTCGTTACCCCAGCGGTGGAACCTGGAACCGTGCAACCTGAACTAATCCTCACTCGGGCCGGGCACTAAACCCCTCTCGTCGCCGAAGATAAGGACACATTGGACGTCTGCTCGACACATTGACAACAACGACCGGGTGGTCGCAACAATAATCATGCTGCTGTGCAACTCATAACTTGTTTTCCCGGCCCTCGCTTGGCTTAACTCACCCCCCAGACACTCGGGCGTCGACCCCGGGACGGCCTCCATTATCTCCTCTCGCGTTAGCGACTCCACCCACTGCGGCAAGTCCTCGGCGGCCTTGGTGAAGAGGTCGACCTGCTTCTCGTCCATCAGCGGCCGGTAGACGCTGTCTGTTGTCAAGCACCCCCGTGGTCCGTTGGCTGGCGCCGCGTCATCGCCGGCGGCGACGGCGGCGTCATGGACAAGCTTATCGTTAACAGTCTGTTGAAGTAGGAGGAGGGCGAGCATCAGGAAGATGTCGGCGTTCACGTACGTTGCTATGCACACGTATAATGGGACAAAACTTACGCCATACACATAATGTTTTTAAAATCACGGAAAATATTACTGTGTCGCCTCCGAAGCATCTGTGCGCCACACTGCGCACGGCCTGCATTGGACCTCGGCGTTCCCGGTCAAAGCCAGACCATGGAGGACACCATGCATTCTTGCGATGTCAAACAACGTCGGTCAGAGGAAACCCGGAGATCCAATTTCCAACACAGCGCCCTGTCGGTAGTCATGAGGTAAGAATACAGTGCTCCTCCGTGAAACTGCATGTGCTAATGCCTCGCCCTTACGAATGCTCACGTGGGTCCGTTGCGATTCATTCGTGAATTTCTAGGCACCACGAAACCACATGCGAGACGGCAGTAGCGTGCTGCGCTGGATTTCGTATCCGTTTTGGTGGTGTTTGAAAAAAAAAAAATGCACTTCCCGGAAGAAGCAACAAGTTTTGAAGTCAGATTGTATTGAAAACAAGATACACCGCCGCAACACACGTCACGTCGCGAGAAGCTGCATTTGAGACACACGCAGCCCTCGAGGCTCTCGTGTTTGGTCGTCGTTTGCAGCAAGGGAAAGCCGACAGCAGTAGACTGACTGCGATAGACGAAACGGCAAGATTCACGGCCAACGGCGTGACTCATGAACATGATCGCGGTTTGCACGTACTTGAATGAGATGCTTGGCAGCCTCGAAGCCCTCCTCTCCTTTCCAGATGAGCTTCCCTCGCGGTGTCAACGGGTGCAGCAGGCCGGCAGCCACAGTGCTCGCGCCGCTGCCAGTGCCAGCCTCGTGGGGGTCGAAGACAGTCACGTCCGACCCGAACGCAGCCAAGTGGTAAGCAGCAGCCAGGCCCGCGAAACCACCCCCCACAACAGCAACTCGTGGTCTACTGGGGAGGGCGCCAACGGCGGCTTTGACGGCCGCGTCGAGGTTCTCGTCAGCAGCAGCAGCGGATGAAGAGGAACAATACAACACGCTGCTGCTACTGCAACTCGCTCTTGATGTCGCCCGTCCTTTCCTGCTGCAGCAGGAGGAGAACATGGCTTGGTTTGCGAAGGCCATTTTCCCCGCTAGAGGCATCCTGGCGGCTGCGCTTGCGCAGAGTACAAGCGGCACTATGCCTCGGATGGGAACTCGCCGTCCCTTCATCGGTTCTAACTCTGCCTCTGACAGCAGGTATCTACTGCTGCTGTGTACTGTACTATAAAAACGGCGTTGCTGGACTTTGCATGCAATGCAGCAGCAGCGAGCAGCGAGGCCCTCTTGAAAAGGGGCACCGCAGTTTGAACAAACCACTGCGGGTAGGGACGGGGACGGGAGCCGGTAAACGCGACCTGGGGGTCTCGTTTAAAAAACGCGACCCGGGGATAAAAAACCCTCATTTTCTGGAATATGACAGGAGGCATGTTTCATGTTAGGCATGTTAGGCACGCAGCGCGCTGTCCCGACAGACACGCCGAGTTCTGCGCCGACGTAGAGCAACCGTCGCCACAAGCAGCAGTATCATAAGTACATCGCTCCGGGGAGTGACGACCGAACTTTCAGCATTCAAGGACCGGTATCCGCCTCGAATCAAATCGCTTCAGTGTGTGTGCTGCAGCAGCGGCGTTATTGTAGAGAACATAGAGAAGAAAGCTGCGGACGGGGACCCCCACAACGTGCGCCACATGCGAAAGATTGACCACTCTGTGACTGACTGACGAAGTAAGGGAATCTGCGTTTTGTGAGAAGCGGCAGAAATAAACCTTGGCCAATCAGAAAGCAGGAAGCGGACGAGCGTGTTGGTTTCTGTTTTCAGTCTACTCGCTTCGCCGTGTTTACCGGGGGCGAGCGAGAGCACGTGTGCGTGTGGTGGCCAAGGGTTGCTTTCTGCCGTGACGTTTCTTTTTGGCACGTGACGTTTCGTGGCGTGACGTATTGGACTGGAGAAGTTTCGCGTCTACGTTTCCCCTGTTTTCGGGGCGACAAGGATTCGCATCCAAATCTCGGAAAAGGGCCTGCCGACGGGATCCGTACGTCGGTGGATGCCTCGATCGCCGACGGCGGCGGCAGCAGCGGTGGTGGCGGTGTCCCTCCCTCCGCCACTGTGGCGGGCGCGGCTGCCGCAATGGCATTGGCAGCCCAGCAGGACCAGCAGAACCCGCCGCCGCAGCAACAGCAGCCGCCGCAGCAGCAGCCGCAACAGCAGCGGCAGCAGCAGCAGCAGACGCAGCAACTTCAACGTCAGCAGCAAGAAGCGGCAGCTGGGGCCGCAGCCGCGGCGGGGTCGGCGGTCTGCGGGGATGAGGCACGACTGGCCGACGGCATGGCTGGTTTATCCGTGGAGGGCCTCCGTGGGTCGTCTGCGGTGGCCGGGGGGAACAACCTGGGTGCCGGTGCGGCGTCGGGGGCGCCGGGTGCGTTGCAGCTT